GGCAATACTCTTAGCTCACACTGAAAGTGGTTTTGAATGGAGTGCAAATATATTTTAAGGATTAGGAAAAGATATACTTGCTTATATTTTCTCTATTTTAAAAAGCATTTATTACATTTCTATACCTCTCAATAGTCAAAGTGCTTTGGGTGGATCCCAACAATTAAAACTGATATATTAGGATGCAATTTAGAAGTGTAAAATTATAGTACAAAAGAAAAAGAAATTCAGGATTAAGAATACAGGGACCATGCAATCCTATGGCCTCTAAACAGTATCTAGACTGCCATAGGATTTTGGAAATTGCCACCTGTGTGGTCCAGAAATTGTTCCAATCTTGTAACTGAGCATCTATGCTCAGCTCCCCCCTTCACCCACAGCTGGTATGGAAAGAATTACACCAGCTCTTTCTTCAAGATCCCAAGAGTGTTTCAGGGCGCAAGAAGGGGAGGGGGCAGGTGAGGCCAAAATATGAAGTAATGTGTCAGCACGTCTGTTTCCTCTCCTCCTACTTCAAAGTACAGCACTTAGATGGCATTTTCAGTGCAAGGGCCAAATTCAGTTCTTCAGGGAGTCTAGCCAAAAGGGCTCTCCCAAGCGGCTGGCCTGCCGCTGTCCTGCTTCACCACTTAGAGCGAGGTTGGCACTGGGGCATGAGGGATCCACTGCCTGAAGCAGGGAATTTGCCTTGCCTCACGGGTGGAACGGCCCTTCTGTGCACACTCACCCACCTGGGAATGAGCCCCATGGAATATGGTGGGCTTTAAGAAAATTTACTTAGCAGTGGTGTAAATTGCATGGGGTTCTTTCCAGGGACGGATGGCATGTGAGCAGAGAATGTTGTGTTCCTTTTCCAGAAAAGAAACTATTGCCTCAGTGTAAAGAAAGATGAATCATACAGTACAGAAATAATTAGGAAATGTATGGACCAAATAGTAAAAAGTGGAGCTCACTTCATCCTCCTAGACCAAGCACAGCCTTGAGGGTCTGCTTGAAATTAAAGAGCACTTCAGAACATACTCCTGCAGAACCATATTTCAGATTCTCTGTGAATCAGGACTCCTTTCCCTTTGCTTCCTGGAAAAACAGCACAGGAAGAACCATTTTTCTCATAGCTTCCTCAACGGCGGAAGTAGACAATAGGTGCCACAAAAGCTAAATTGAGTCCTGCCTGTGCTGCATGGGCTGATTTTCCTTTCTTTCCAGGCAGTCTGATATTCTAGGCATATCCCTGTGGCAATAAAATGAGCATCACATCCCAGCCATGACAGCAAAGGGAATCTAGAGCAGCTAAAAATACAAGCATGGCTGTCTCAGAAGCTTCGCACGCAGCAGCCTTCTGCTGGTGACCTCCACGCCCGTCTGCCCCCAGCGCTCACTCCCAGCACCAAGGGCAGCGTACAAATGGCTTCATCTTGAAGACAAGTGCGTGAAGGCACAGAACAAATCTCCATGACATGGCAGAAGGTGACTAAACACACCCCAGCCTCTGTGCAATACATAGATAACCGGTATGAATTGTAAAATGAGAACAGGGTTATGCTGAATGTTTCGCCTCAGAGTTCTCCTGGGTAGAAGTTGATGTGGTCAAATGTTTCTCTCACTCATATGGATATTTGCACGGGTGTCTGGTTTCAGTCCTTAATATTTGACAGTTGATCTTTTTGGAATTATTCAGTTGTTGATATGAAAGGCAGTTCACATGTGACAATATGGGAGGTGGCCTTTAGCACAGCCAGCTTCAGGCCTGAAAGGGGTCCTGGGCTGAGTGTCCTTTGGCAGGCTCTGGGTCCAAAACCCTTTTAGATTTCACAATGCCCCCATGCAAACATGAGGTATGAGCACTCTGAGAAATTGAAAGCATGGCTAAGCCCTGCCATCTGGTGCTGTTCAGACAGGAACAGCAAACCTTCAGGGGGTTTCCCAGGGAAGGCCTCAGCAGTGAGCTTTGACAGGTGCTGGCACCAGTCGTGACCTTCAGGGGACATTTCCATGTTGACATCAGCCGAGAAACCTCCACATGCCTGTCCTGGGAACCTGCACATTGTAGAGGAGTCTGACGTGTGTTCTAAAGTGCATGCCAAATCCACACAGAGCAGAGCTGTGGATCACCATGCAAAGCCACTGTGTCCTGAGAAGCACCCAGCATTCCCACACGGCTTCTAGGATTACTGTAGGGGAAAGACGGCAGCAGTGGCCAGGTGGCTTCTCAAGGCTTCTCTGCATTAAAGAACTCCTGCCCTGGGAAGCTTCTAAGGGTCAGATGATGTTTTGCTTTAAATAATGCTTGAGATTCCCTTTGCTTTTTTTTTTTTTTTTTTTTGCCCAAAAGCAGGGGTCCCCAGTCCCAGTCTCAGGGGTCCCCAGTCCAGATTGAGCTACAGCAGGAAGGTGTTAACCCTTCATCCACCCTCACTGTTACCTGACTGAGCAATCCAGCCCACCCCATGGCTGCTATTAGTTTCTATTGGGAATATGGGGGAATTTTCAGAAGGAATGTGGTGTGGGAGGGGAAGGATTAAAAGCTGCCTCTCCGCCCCACCCAGCCAGTGCAACTGGGGTAATGCTGTTCTGATGCAGACCAGAAGACTCCTGCAATCGCTTTTGGACTATTTTTAAGGGGGTGAGGGAAATCTCAATACTTAGACACATTTGAGTATGGCAAGTGGGAGCTGCAACAAACCTGCCAAGTGTTTTAGAGTAAAATCCAATGAGGCTGCCTGTAAACCTCCAGACCTGGACTATATTCTATGCAGGGTGGGAAGAGAGCACAAATGAAGGTGGCCAGCATGCCACTCCCGCCCTGCAAAGCAGATAAATGGCGAATTTTTACAGTCTAACAGCAATGATTCACGGGGGGGGGGGGTCATATTGTGGCAGAGCCAGTCTTTTCATGCACCCCCAGAATGCCCTGAAAACCCTTTCTCTTGACTCCTCAGAGAAGCAGCTGGTGTGATTCCTTCTATGCCAATGGAGGGTGTGGGTGGGGGCGGATCTGAGCCCAGATGTCCAGCTACAACGTTGGAGCGATTTCCATGCTGGCTGCAATAGCATGACAGGCAAGTCGGAGCTGTTTCCTGAGCTCGGCGTTGGGAATCTGAGCAATCCTTTGGATGCTTTCCAGGAGCTATAGGATTGCTCTGCCTGGCAATCAGTCAGGTCCTTTTCCAAAATACTCTATGCCCTTCCCCACACTGCCATTCAATAGTCAGTGACCATTCCATGGCCACTAGGCTAACTCAGCCCACACTGGACTGTTTGGGTTCCCCACCATCACCACCTACTTTTTTAAAGCTTGATTTTGGTAGCTATACAAAGCTGCAGGCTTCCCCCAGACATGCTGAAGCCCTCCTTTTGGGCATGATTGTACCCTGTTGGATAAATGAGGATCAACCCTGGGCAAAGAGATCACTATTGGTGTATAGGAATAATGTAGTTTACCTAAAAAACTCATGGCCCAGAAAAATGGTTTTGAAACTGCTTGTGATCATATGTAACAGCATTTGATAGCTGATACATAAGTGCAGTTTTTAATTATTAACATGAGATCATGTTTAGTATCTTACAAATTTGAGAGAGAAAACACATAATGATTAGTCTCTGACATCCATGGACATCATTTTTGAAGCCTGCCAAAATTTTAAAAAATCAAGAAATGCCAGCAGACCTAAAGCACTACAGTTTTATATTTTCAGAGGTTTTTTATCACATTTTTTAAAAATCAAATTTCATTTCAGAGTGTATTCAAAAATGGTGTGATGAGAAATCCCAGCAATTTTGAATATTTTCCTGTATTGGTTTTCATTCCAGTTAGCTGAAAGAACGCTGCATACTTCTTTTACCTCACCCCTGCCCCTGCCTAGTACATCAGAAGGGAGACAGGTGGTCTTTTGGTTGCTGTTTGGGGGCAATCACTTCTCATTTGGCTTTGCAGCACAGTGAAACGCCCCAGAGGTCTTTGCTATTAACATGCACTCTAAATCTCCAAGATGTTGCAGCTGTGATTGGTTATTTATGGCTCCCCTCTTACATTACCATCTCGAAAACATCACACAAAAGAGAAACGTAATGAAATCTCCACCTCTCCAGCCATCTCTCTCTAATCCGAAATGGCATTTCCAGGAGCTATTCTCATCCAAGCAAGGAGTCTAAGCAATGCAGACATGTCTTTCCTTTCCACTCAAATAGCATTCAGCTTTGCAAGGAGTCACACACTGATTCTCTCCGTACCTGCCTTGCATATATACTCTGATGTCCACTACGTGCTTCTAGATCATGGGTCCTCAAACTACGGCCTGGGGGCCGGATCCGGCCCGCCATGCCCATTTGGACCTGTTGCACCCATGCACGTGCCCACTGCCACCCACCTCGCCCCGCGCACGAGGAGGCAGCAGTTTGCTCACTCGGAGAAAACCATCTCCAAGCAAGCAAGCTGCTGCCTGGTGTGCCCGCCTCGTGGCGCGTGCCTGCCCCTGCCTCCCCTCGCCTTCCCTCGCCACGTGCTCGCACCCACCCGCACCTCGCCTCCCCACCCGCACCTCGCCTCGCCTCGCCAGACACCCTGCCCTGCCTCAGTGCGCACCCACATGCGCCGCTCCTGCCCCCGCCCCCGCCCCCGTGCACTACCAGCACCGCCTTTCCGGCCTGCGCCCAGCACAGGCACCTTTCAACTGCCCCCTGGTGAAAAAGTTTGAGGACCCCTGTTCTAGATGATGCATACACCTTATTCACTCACCTGGTGTTATTCTTCTTGCCCAATGAAGACTGCTATTTCCCTGCCACTAATAAAAGCAGGGAGTCTATGATCTATTCCCTAATGCTCTGTAGAAGGGCTGATCTCTGGGAGGCAGGAAAGTGGGTGCACAGAGGTTACAGTTTACACATGCGCACTTAATATGCAAGTCCAAATCCTTTTCCCTAAATATGTCCTCTCTAGTGCAGCTATATAAACCTGAAATTATCCCATTCCCAGGGATGGGATATATAGCAGGTTTCCCAACCTGCTGCCTTCCACATTTTTTGGATTTCAGCTCCAGTCAGTCCCCCTCAGGATGGCCAACGGTCAGGAAAGGAGCTGTAGTCTCAACTCATTCGATGGGCATCAGGCTGGAGAAGGCTGGGATAGAATCTGCAGAAACAAACACAGAGTGAGTTCAGATGACCTGATAATACACATTCAAGGGTTGAGTGTGGGCTGTCATTGAACTGTGTATTGTTGTTGAAATGTGGGTAATGGTGCTGTCTGAAACCTGGTAAGATAACATGCTATAGTGAACAAACCAAAGTTCACAATCTGACAACAAACTAGGGTTTTCTTTGCGGGTTGTTCATGACTGACAAGGCATGGATTGTAAGTGCAGCTGGATTCAGACAACATGATAACCTAGTTTTGGCAACAATCCACTGTTTAGCAACAACCAACACACAACCGTTTAGTGTTGCTTACTATGTCATCTGAACCCAGTCATCAACTATCTCATTCCAATGTACAGTCTCCACTAAGCTGCTCGCCTCCAGATGGGTTGCACTACAACACCCTGCTAACTGGGGATGATAGGGTTTTCAATCCAACACATCTGGAGGCCACCTGATTTGCAAATTCAGTCATTTAGGAATCCTTCCTTCCTTCCTTCCTTCCTTGGTTCCTTTCTTGTTTATTAATCACCCCAGTCTTATATTATCCAGCCACTTGCTTTTTGCTTTTGCCTTTTTTGATTTGTCAATGAAAAATGTTCAGTGTTCATTATCAAATTCATTTCCTATGGAGATGTTCTTGGCTCCTTTTCTTCAATGGGTGTGTTTATATTCATCATACCCTGTCTACAAAAATAGCCTCTGCCGGATTACCAAATCTGTTCTGTGTCTCCTAGTAAAAGAAAGAAAGAAAGACTTTGTGAATGACTGTGCACTGAATTATGCATGTGAAACTTGGTGGACTTCATGGGGACAGTTAAACAATATTTTGGACTGAGGGTACATGTGAGAAGCAACCCTGGGAAAATAGCTCCTGTGGGAGGCTTTGCAAAGGACAAGTTACCCCAAAGACTGAGAACAAGACTGATGTGAGGGCTGAGCCCCACTGCAACTTCCTGAACCCACCAACAGAAACCTATTACCCAGCAATCCCAGCTGGCGTAGGAAAATATGTGAATTTTAAAAAGTGGAATGAGGAATGTAGCTTGGCAAGTGCTAAGGAAGGCATCTAGGAGCTCAGTGGTGCAGTCTTGTTCTGCTTACCTGTAGGTAGACCCCTGCTTGCTTCTGCGTAGATGCACAGAGGCTTGGTATTTAGGATGTGTTGGGAATGAAAGGGGCAGTTGTTCTGGGCACGCATTCTGAGGTCAGGCAGATCGGGGCTCATCGGATGAGGCAGGGGCCTGGGAAAAGGCAACCTCAGATGCTGAAATGGGAGAAGCGGAGGGGCTTCTCTCAAGGTCGCCCACCCCAGGTGTTCAGGCAGAATCTGAGAACAGTCGGGATCTACAGCGGCATGGAGGGGGCATGAGAGAACTCCTGAAGCCACCCAAGCCTGATACAACTCTTGACCCCATGACATGGCACTGGGAGAGACGGACCAGCCAACTAGAGGGGCAGCTGACAAAAAAGAGGCTCGCCCACCTTCAGAAGGGCCCTCCCAGAGGGAGAAGGCCCAGGGGTACTCAGCAAAAGGGTTCTTAGAAGCAGTTGCTAGATTGGGTTCAACAAACCACTCTGTGCATGCTCAGAGACTTCTTCTGCAGAGACTGTGCCTACTGGAAGTACCTTAGTGAATAAAGAGTTTTTACAAAGGAACAGTATGTTGCTTTGCATGTGCGAAGGGGGAAACCTAGCTCTTGAAAGGATGCTACTGATCCAGAATAATCATTACCTGTACTACCTGCCCTTCCTGTGGCCATTTAGTCTTTGAGAGTTTTCCCAGATTGGATTTGGATTTTTTAAAAGAAAAAACGGGTATGGACACGGGGTGAGAAGATGAGAACAGTGGCATGATTAGTACCATCCCAACAGGTGCCTACAAGATTGATGAACACATCCAGACTTATTGCACAAGTGCAATGGAAATTGAGAGAGACTGTTCAGATGCACAATCCCGACAATATACTTCTTTCAGGGAAGATATCTAGGTTCTCCTGCTATGACTGAGTACCAACCATGCATTTACCATACCTAACAAATAAAAAGAGTATTCTGAAAGGCTTTAAAATATGTTATCACCAGCACCCATATGTGTGATCCGCCACTGAAAATAGCACAAGAAGTTAGCTAGCATAGACCTCACCTTATCTTTTCATGGCTTCTTCCCAATTAGCACTCCATTTCCTATTTCACACTCTTCTGCAACTCAGGCAAAACTTAGTGCCTCGTTAAGTTACATATCCTCTGCCCCCCCCCCCACATTACAGGGGACTTTCAAACAATAAAGCCAATGTTTAATCAAAATACCCTTTCTCTAAAGTCACTTCACTATTCCACTCCAGTGTTCCCCAAATTGGTTCCCCAAACTGAAATTGGTTTTGTTTCCAGTATTTGTCTGTCACCCCAGTTATGAAGTAGAAAGAATGAAAGATTACACAGGAGTAACCATTTTGCCATTATGAACCTAAGTTACAAAAAATAAAAAATAGAAGTCTGGAGTGCATCCAATTTATAATGGAAATCTTTTGCTGAACAGGCACATAACACACACACACAACCTCACACACAGAAAAAAAACATAAAAGGATGGAAAAATTAACGCCTGTAAAAGATGCAAACCCATTAACCAAAAATGCATTATGCTCAGTTTTATACACCCGTCTGCTACAACTGTAAACATTTTAGCCAATTATTTTCAAGATGGAATAAAGCATTGCAGCATAAAAATGTGCTTCAGTCCCTCCATTATGGCCCAAGCCTGCTTCCTGCATTCAGTGCAGTGGGAATGGAGGCAATCAAGAAAATAATTATTTTCTTAACCACGGGATCAGTTATCATCTGTACAAAAAACAGAGAGGGCCTCAGAGTTGTCAGTCACGGATGAGACAGGAGACGCTCTGGGGAAAGCCGTCATAGTCGGTGTGGGGGTAGCAGCGCCATATATCTGAGTCAGGGTAGTGAAGTCAATGAAAACACTGTCAATTGTGAATTGGCACAAGGCTTGAAATGTTTTCCCTTCTGTTTGACACGTGTTCTCATTAGCATGTTCTGAGTATGGAAGGGTGGCTCAGAGGGCATCCTTTCCTTTAAACAAAGCCTCCTTTATCCTGGAGAAAACTGCTCCAAGGGAAGAAACCTTTCACCCTCTCCAGCCGGCATGGAACAAAATGTGTTATTTACTATCAGCTCGCCTTTTTGGGGGGTGACCTGTGCATGTGAAATAAATGCGTAGCTCCAATCCAATTTCACAAGATCGGTGCCAAGACGACAACAAACATCATCTTTATCCCAGTAGGTGCTAATTAATTAGCCTTCCTAATGTTCTCAGCATTTAGTATGACTGCAACACTGGCCAGTCCAATCCTGAATATTCCTACCAGTCAGTTCCCTGGCAGTGAAAGAGTAAAGTTTTGTAATGTGATGTTGTATCTGTAGCTTGCTCTATCCTGCTCTAAACACTTTAACCTGCATCAGCTGTGAGGCATTGGACAAGATTGTAAAAATCCTTTTTGCTTCTCAGAGCATCTTCTGCTATGTACTCAGGCAAAATACATGTGCCACCATATCACTATGAAGGGGCCGTATGTGGGAGAATTGATGGTTCCCCCCACCTTTAAAATAAACCCGTATGGTACCTGGCAAAGGATTGTGTGTGCACACATACACCCAGAGGGAACATCCGGACACGAGGGAAGCTATCCTGGATCAGATTGGTGGTACATCCAGTCCAGCATTCTGGTCACACAGTAGCCAACCAGATGCCCACAAAAGCAGGAAAGGAGTGCGACAGCGCCCTGCTGGGGGATTAGGGCCACTGCCTCTGATACCAGAAGTAGTTAAAAGCCATCAGGATTAGCAACCATTGATAGCCTTCTCCTCCAAGAATCTGTCCAATCTCCTTTGAAAACCTTCCAGATTGGTGGCTTTCACTTCTTCTTGTGGCAGTGAGTTCCACAGTTTAATTATGCGCTGTATGAGGAAGTACTGCCTGAGTCTCCCACCAGTCAGCTTCAAGAGGTGACCCCACATTCCAGGATTTCATTGCAAGCTTCCATTTCTTTCTGTGTACTTGGAAGAAAAGCATTTCCTTTTGATACACAGATACCTTCTTCATCAATGATTTGCTATACATACATTTTGTACTCAGATTTCTTCATTCACATAGAAAATGTAGTGTAGGGAAAACTAGGCCAGCTCCCTGTTGAAAGTGAGGTTTTCTTATGTAGCAGTGGTGAGAAACTTGTGCCCCTAGGTGCTGATGGGCTTCAACTTTCATCAGCCCTAGCCACAAACAAGCTTTAAAAAGTATACCTAAAGTTCTAAAAAACCCTCAACTATAAAATGCACTTGTAGGAAAATCAGAGTGGAAAGTAATACCATAAATCCTTACAAATCATAAGCAAGCACTATCATATATAGTTCATTGTAAATGTTTTTTTACATCTATGGATAATTTGATGTATATCAGAATTTTAAAAAAGAAAAGATTTAAGGAAGCCAGTGAAAAAATATGAGAAAATTCTGACATATCGTTTTTCAGTAACTCGAAGGAAGCTGAAGCAAGCACTCTCCGTAAATCACTGCAATTCATTCCCATTTCCTTCATAGCAGTAAAGAATAACATTTACCCTGAATGGTTTGGAAACGTCCAAAAGAACAGCTTTGTGATACAAACATTTCTGACATTTGCCGTAACATATAGGCTAAAAATTGCCTGTTGTCAGCCTGCAGTCTTCCTGTCTGTAAACCCAGGCATAAAGCTGCCTTACATTGAGCCAACCTGTTCCTCTGGCCCAGCCTTCCCCACTGAACCATCCTCCAGTCTTGGTGTACTACAACCCCCAACATCTCCAGCTTCTGTCTGTGGAAGCTAGCAGCTGTAGTCTAACACTTCTGGGGAGGACTCAGCTGGGCAGGGCTGACCTAGCCCAGGGCAGACCTCTTGGCATCACTTTAACTAGCGATGCTGCGAACTTGAACCCATCTGCGTGT